GTGCACTTAACCTTTATATAAAACTCTCTCTTATACATGAGTTTCTGTGGATTTGTTTCTCTAAACTACCCAGACTAACACAGGTGTTTTCATAGCAACCCAATGCAACAGAGTGGGGAAAACACATAGGTTTTGTAGGATGTAATATTTTAGGGAGTAGTCTGGAAGCAGATTGTCTTGTCTTTGTCTAGCAGAGGTACTTTGTGGATTTGCATGGGCAGCCTATCCGATAGCAGCTGAGGGAGTGCAACCATGGTGCCACTAGAGTTCTAAAACCAAGAATCGCCCAGTAAGATGACCTTGGAAAAATATGTAACTCTTCAGTGTCCCAGTTTCCCTATGTGTAAATATGGAAGATAATAATACTGCCCATCTTGTTGGTTTGTGGGCACTTAGGATTATGTCTGGGATTTGGTAGTGACTACATCAGTGACCATGAATATATGTCATTGTATGTGCTGTAGCCCAGTAGAGGAACAAACTTTCAGCATCTTTGGCTGAGTTTGACACAGTCATTGATTTTACCCGAACCCAGCTATGAGGTATCTCAGAAATGGAAATTGTCTTGTTTTCCCCCTCACTCCTGGCTTTGTGCTTACTAAATGGAAGAGAATGATAAGACCATCTGTTCTATTAACCTTCCTTATCTCTCTGTCTTTTACTGAGCGGCTCAGGCGATGAAATTGGCTGTGTCGTCGATGTGACTTCATTGAAAATATTTATTGCAGTACCTTTCCTTGGGTGTTCCAGAGAGGCAACTAGAAATGACATAGGAAGAGTGATGGCAGGTTCCAACACACGATGCATGGTTTTACTTCTGCAGTATTCAAGAGTCCGTTCAGGACCATGGAGAGCGCCACAGGAAGTCCTAAACCCCCACAGCCAGATCCTCTTGAGGCCTTTCCCCAGAGGAGCCTGGAGCCAGGTGACATCGCAGTGCTGGTCCTGTACTTCGTCTTTGTCCTGGCTGTTGGATTATGGGTAAGTTAGGTCGGTAGAATCGTCCGGGGGGGAAAAGGAAACAGTCAGGACAGAAGACTTGAGACAATCCAGTTATTTTGAGAACAAGACACTAACTGTGATAGAGGGGAAGAAACTAGCTCAAGGTCATGGACTATTCAGAACGCTGTTGTTGTTAGGTGCCATCAAATCAATCCCAACTCGGACTGACCCGATGTTCAACAGTTCAAAACACTGCCCAGTCCTGTGCCATCCTCAAAATGGTTATGTTGGAGCCCATTGTTGCCACTGTACCAATCCATCTCTTTTTCATTGACCCTTCACGCTACCAAGCATGGTATCCTTTTCCAAGAATTGCTCTCTTCTGATAACACATCCATAGTATGTGAGATGAAGCCTCACTATCTAAGGAGCATTCTGCCTGCATTTCTCCTAAGGAAGATTTGTTTGTTCTTCTGGCAGTCCATGTCTTCAACATTCTTCTCCAATACCATAATTCAAATGCATTGATTCTTCCTTATTCAGTGTCCAACTTGCGCATCATATGAGGCAATTGAAAATACCATGGTCAGGCACTCCTTAGCCTCAAAGTGACATCCTTGCCCTTCAACATTTTAAAGAGATCTTGTGCTACAGATTTAGTCAATATAATACATTATTTTATCGCTTGACTGTTTCTTCCATGAACATTGATTGTGGACCCAAGCAAAATAAAATTCTTGACGATGTCGATCTTTTCTCCATTGACCATCATGCCTTTTGGACCAGTTATGAAGACTTTTCATTTCTTTACATTGACTTGCAATCCACGCTGAAGGCTACAGTCTTCAGTCTTCACCAGCAAGCAGTTTAAGTCTTCTTCCCTTTCAGCGTGTAAGGTTGTGTCACTTGCATGTCTCAGGTTGTTATGAAGGCTTCCTCCAATCCTGACACTATGTTCTGCTCCATATAGCCCAGCCCCTTATTATTTGCTCAGCATACAGACTGAACATGCGATGAAAGGATTCAACACTGGATCCACCTCCCAGCCAATCGTGCTTTTCAATAGTCTAAAGAGGTCTGGTGTAGCAGACTTACCTAATGCAACATATATTTTGACTTCTTGACTATTGCCTCTATGAGCATTGATTGTGGTTCCAAGCAAGACAAAATCCTTGACAATGTCAAACTTTTCTCCATTTGTCATGATGTTACCTTTTGGTCCAGTTGTGAGGATTTTGGGCTTCTTTACTTTGAGTGGTAATCTATACGGAAGGCTGCACTCCTTGATTTCATCAGCAAATGCTTCAAGTCCTCCCCACTTTCAGCAAGCAAGGTTTTGTTATCTGCATAATGCAGTTTGTTAGTAAGCCTTCCTCCAATCCTGATGCCACACTCTTCTTTATATAAACCAGTTTCTCTTATGATTTGCTCAACATACAGATTGAGTAAGTATGGGGAGAGGGTATAACTTTGACACATATCTTTCCTGATTTTAATCCATGAAGTATTCCCTTATTTTGTTGGCATAACTGCCTCTTGATCCATGTACAACATGAGCACAATGAATGCTCTAGAAATCCCATTATTCTCAAGGTTATCCATAGTTTGTTATGATGCACACAATTTGACTATGTCTTAACATAGTCAATAAAACACAAATATACATCTTTCTCGTATCCTTTACTTTCAGACAAGATTCATCTGACATCAGCAATGATATCACTTGTTCTACATCATCTTCTGAATTTGGCCCGAACCTCTGGCACCTTCCTGTCAATGTACTGCTGAAACCATTGTTGGATGATCATCAGCAAAGTTTCACTTACATGTGATATTAATTATATTGTTCTATAATTTGAGCATTCTGTTGGGTTGGTCACTTTTCTTTGTTGTTGGTACAAATATGGATCTTGTTCAGTCAGCTGGCCAAGTAGCTCTCTTCCAAATTTCCTTGAATAGACGGAGTGAGTGCTTCCAGTGCTTTATCAGCTTGTGGAAACATTTCAATTTGTATTTCTCATTGATTCCTGGACCCTTGTTTTTGTCAAATGCTTTCAGTGAAGCTTAGAAGTCTTGCTTCAGTATCATTGGTTCTTGTTCATATGCTACTCCAGAAATGGTGGAATGTTGACAAGTTCTTTTTGGTACAGTGACTCTGTGTATTTTTTCCCATCTTCTTTTGTATGCTTCCTGCATCATTTGATATTTTGTCTCAAGAATCTTCCAATATTGCAACTTGAGTAAAGAATCTTTCAAGGTTGCAAAAAATTGAAAAATTCAAATTTTTCTTGAGTTCTTTCAGTTTAAAATATGCTGAGCATTATTTTTTCCTTTTGGCTTTGAAACTCTAGATCCTTGCACATTTCATTCTAATATTTGGCTTTATCTTTCTGAACTGCCCTTTGAAATGCTCTGTTCTGTTCTCTGGCTTCATCATTTCTTTTTGTTTTAGCTACTTTATGGTTAAGAGCAAGTTTCAGAATCTCTTCTGCCATCCGCTTTGATCTTTCCTTCTTTTTAATGACCTCTTTCTTTCTTCATGAATAATGCATCGATTCTAAGCTGCTGTAGAGAAACCATGTAAAACAGGGAGTGATAGTGCTAGATTTATTGGAAGAGGTTATGTCTCTTTTAATTTACTGTCATTGAGTCAATTCTGACTCATAGCAACCCCATAAGACAGGGTAGAACTGCCCCTTTTGGATTCTAAGGCTATACATCTTTATGGGAGTAGGAAGCCCATCTTTCTCCCTGTCTCCGTTTAAAATCTCCTTTAAAAACAAAGCATAGCTGAAGAAGAATCTGGCCCATTGGCTTCTTAATTTGCAAACCCTGACCTCGGCCATGTTGGAATGGTTTAGATTGCTAACTTTCCCTTTTCTGTGTTTCAGTCCACAGTGAGGACGCAAAGAGACACAGTGAAAGGCTACTTCTTGGCTGGAAGGGACATGGTGTGGTGGCCTGTAAGTAGTCTTTGCTTCAAGGCACTTCTCAAAGAATCTCCAAATGCTGACATTCTGCCAGGTTTTGCTTCCTCCATACTCACTGGTTTCATGTTCCATGGAAGGTGCTATCTAAACTTGAGACAACTGAACTCCTATTCAAATTGGTTTAAACAAAAAGGGAATTTATTAACTCACCTACGTGAAATAGCTATGGCCGGGCCAATTTCAGATATGGCTGAATGCAGAAATCCAAGTTATGTTAATAGGACTTAATTATCTATCTATCTATCTATCTATCTATCTATCTATCTATCTATCTATCTATCTATCTATCCAGCCATCCACTCACTCACCCATCAACTATCAACTTCTTTTGTGGATGGTGTTATTCCCAAATGGAATCATGTCTCACAGCAGCAACTTACTTCACACCTTTCGTCCTACCAAGTTTTGGCTCAACATGTCAAGAACACCTTCTTTTAAGGTAGTATTCTTTTTCTCCCCCTAACAGTTTTAATGGTACAAATCTACCTATCATACAATTCAATAGTTCAATCATATCAAAAAGTATTGTACAATCATTATACTCATTGTTCTTAGTTAACCATTTCCTCCCCACCTCCCCTACCACACCCCTAAGAAACCATTAATCCAGTAACTGTCTCCATAGATTTACCCATACTGGATTTCATATATCGAAAAACCTACAAAATAACAACAACAACAACAAAATTAAAAAGTAAAACAGAGGAAAACTTCAATTGGAAAAGAAAGTAGAAACTATTAAACTAGAGCCAATTTAAAATAGGTCAAAAGTGAGATCAAGTGATGAAGTGTTAAATCTTAACCTAACTGAATTTGCAATACTCCTCTTTCCAAAGTACTCTGCATGATGGCAAGGCTAGTCACATGCCTGGTCCATAATTAGAGAGGATCCCCAGAGATTTATTCCCTGTGTATTTCCCCTTCACTTTGAAAAAACTGAAACAACTTCTAAAAGGGTCAAAAGGGATATCAAATGACAAGATATTACATTTTAACCTAACTCCATCTGCCATTATCAACTTCACAGTGCTCTCTCTGTCTGATAACAGGGCTATTCACATCCCATGACTGTGGTCACAGGGGATTCACCTGAGGTTTAATCTATGTGTGGACCCTGCAAATGGATTTTGGGTTTCCACTGTTGTCCATTGCCTTCAGCAGACCAGGTGTCCACAATTGGAGTTCTGATAGCATTTTCCTTCTTTGACTTTGGATATCATTTAAAATCCTTGGGTCACACGGGTTGATGTGCTTGTTCCATTTGGACTTGGTTGAAACCTCAATTAGATGACTGCTTGTTTGAAGACAAGAGTTTAAGACCTCAAAAGCTATCGTTCATTTTTTTTCCTGATAGTAAGGCATATTTCTTGGAAAATAGCTCATCTGAGTGAGTTTCATGCCCATCCATGAGTCAAATACTGTGACAAGGATAATTTGAGATGTTGATTTGTTCAAGCATGAGTTATATATTGAATGCCTATGCTGAGAGGACGGAACCTTAGTTGAAGCATATCACATCAGAAATGAGTGCTGAATCCTAAAGGAAAATGGATATCATTCTTGGAAGAAAGTGAAATGGGTACTGAGAACACAAAACTTGCACAATTCCATAACTATTTTCTTTCCAAGTGGTTCTAAGGGTAGACACACACACACACACACACACACATCTACTTCATGAGTCATAAGTAAGAGGTCATGGATAACAGTTTGACTTCTAAAATAAAGGAAAGTATTTGAGCTAGTAAAAGGGAAGACATATCCATTTGCAGTAAGTCCAAGAGATGAAGTGTTTCCCAAAGACTTTTCAGTTGTTTGCAGACACATTAAACAAGGTTGAATTAGAGTGGGGGCATGAGTATCTTTCCTCCTCTTCATCAAGTCTTCAAATTACATTCAGAAGCCTCCATTTGGCACTCAGGTATCTTCGGCAGTTTTGGTTTCTTGTTACTGTTAGGAGCTGACGAGTTGATTCCGAGTCATAGTGCAGCAGAACAAAGCACCGGCTAGTTCTGGGTCATCCTCACAATCGTTCCGTTTGAGCCATTGCTGCAGATGCTGTGTCAACTTATCGCCCGGAGGTTTTCATTTTTTTCTATTGAACCCCCCCCCCCCACTTTCCCAAGCATGATGTCCTTCTTCAGGGACTGGTCTCCCCTGATACCATATTCAAAATACATGGGACAAAGTATTACCATTGTCACTTTTAAGAAGCATTGTCATGTACTTCCTCAAAGACAGATTTGTTTGTTCTTCTGGCAGTCCGTGGTATTTTTAACATTCTTTGGCAACACCGTCGTTTAAATGCATCGATTCTCCTTTTGTCTTCCTTATTGACTGTTCAACTTTCACAGGCTTATGAAGCACTTAAGTCCTCGGTAATATCTTTGCCTTCCAACATTCTCAAGAGATCTTGTGCAGCAGGTTTATGCAATGCAACACACCTTCTGATCTCTTGACAGCTGCTTTCATGAGCACTGATTTTGGATCCGAGCAAGACAAAATCCTTGACAACTTCAACCTTTTCTACAGTTATCATGATGGTATAGCACTTCCTTAAATAGTTAGAAATAGAAATAGCATATTATCCAGCAAAACCACCACTAGGTATATCTCCAACAGAAATAAGAGCCATGACAAGAATAGATATATGCATACGCATGTCCATTGCAGAATTATTTACCATAGTAAAGAGATGGAAACAACTTAAATGTCATGAAGAGATGAATAGTAAACTGTGAGACAGTAGACTGCTACACAATTACAAAATGAATCTGTGAAATAGCTTATAACACGAGTGAAGCTGGAGAACATGATGCTGTGTGAAATGAATCAGTCACAAAAGAGCAAATATTGCCCAAGACTACTGCTATAAAAAGTCAAGAATAGATTTACACACAGAAAGAAACATCTTTTGAAAGTCATCAGAGATAGAGGGGAGGGAGGGTAAATCACCAAGCAACGGATAGATATGTATTAACTGGGAAAGGCAATCTACAATAAAGGCGAGTTCAACAAAAAATGCTCAAGATGAAAGAAGACACCGGAGGTGCACAAGAGTTAAAGGCAACAAAGATAAATATTATCACACACAAATCCTGCAGTAAAGTAACAACAATAATCTAGAGGTGGATGCAGAGATAGACACTCAAGCTGAACAAGTGTGGTCAAGTAGTGGGTCTACATCCACAAAATGCAATGGGGTTGGCTGCAAATATAGCCATTTCATAAAGCACACAAAAGACAAAGTTACGAAGTCTTCTTCTTAGCCATTACCAGATGCCTTGAGGGAATTCATTGCTGGGCTTGTGGGATCAAGATCCCAGTCTTGAGGGACCTCAAGGTCAATGGACACAACAGTCCACAAAGGCAGTGCTCTACATTCTCCTTTGGTTAGTAGTCACTAGGGTCTTAAAAGCTTGTGAGTGGCCGGCAAAGGTTCAGCTTTGAAGAAAAGTGAAGAAAATCAAAGATATGTGAAAGCAGTCCAATGGGCTCATTGACCACATGAACCCCAGACTCTGACTTTGAGACCAGAAAAACTTCCTGGGTGCTCACTGACCATTACTGGCCACGCAGAAATGGATCATCATAGATGCTCCTGGATGGTGGGAAGAAATTGTGGCGCAAAACGCAACATCATAAAGACCAGGCTAACTGGTCTGAGAGTGGCTGATGGAATCCTTGAGACGATGCCCCTTGGTCACCTTTCAGGCCTGGAAGCGAACTCACCCCAGGACTCAGTTTCTAGCCAATCAATAATAATCCTCTGAGGTATGCATTTCTTAGAGCAATCCACCATACACGCGCAGTCAGGCGGTCTTAGGCCCGGGATGGATCTCAGCAGGCAGGAGGAACAGGAGAGAAGGACATGGTAATGGAGAACCAGGGAGGAGGTGAGGAGAGTGCTGTGACATCGTGGGGCTTATCATCAATGCCAGGAAACAAAAGATGTACGGATTGCTGAATGGAAAACCCTTTGGGGCTATAAGCTTTCACCTAAATTACAATGAAAAAATACAAAGGGAAACATGTCTGAAGACTAGGAGGAATTGGTGTGTCCAATTGTACGCTGTTACAAAAACTTTAGCAAAAATAAAAATCAACTACGAAAGTGACTTTATCTGAATACACAATGGCTAAGTAGCAAACCAGGATTAGATAGCCCACTATGCTTAGCCCGAAACCTAAATATTTACTAACAGAAACATCCCCCTGAGAACTACTAGCAAACACTTAAAACGTAAAGGACTTGGTGATGCATCCCATACACTGAGAGGAGCCTGTTGTGTAATCAATAAACCCCCAGCCGAGATACCTCCCCACTGCTTGTTAATATAGCAGTCAATATACC